TAGCCACCGTCATGATTTGACGCATTAAATAATTAAAATCATTAATTTTGTTTTTTTGCTCATTGCCATCTTATTCAGTTGAAGGTTTAGAAAGTGTGTTTGTATTAGAAAATGAAAGTGTGTCGTAGTTGCGAGATTAAACTTTTAATTGTGTTATTTAACACTTGATCAGCCGCTGTGTGTATGCTTGTGCATTAGGGTGTCCGTGAATATAAGAGATATATTTATTGCCGAATGTGATAAGCATACCCTATTAATTTTGTTCTTTTGCTCAAAACAACTTACATGTTTGGCATTCCACGCCAAATTGGACAGCAATTGGTTTCTGTATCTGGTATTTCTTCACAATTTTTTATGTTATAGTACCAATTGAGAGAGGGCTCACTCATTTTTTTTTTTTTTTTTTGAAGGAAATCTTCTTTAGCGGCGGTTGGTTGGTTGGGAGTAAATTGGCGAATTCAACGGCAATTGTGTACGTACATAGATAAAGAAAAGGATAAAGGCAAAGGTAAAAATAAAAATAAAAACAAACCCAAAGATGCGTAAAGATAAAGGCAAAAATGAAGACCAAGGTAAATTTAAAGGTAATTATAGAGAAAAGGATATAGATAGAGACACAGAGACTCAATCTGGGAACTATTTTGGGATTTTAGAGATTTTCGGTATTCTCGGGACTTACGATATAATAATCGACATTTTTATCGGTTTTGTTACCGATATTGATATCGATTTTGTTATCGATTATGTATCGATTTTGTTACCGTTTACTTATCGATTTTGTTATCGACTTTTCTATAGATTTTTTATCGATTTGGTTAGCGTTATTTTCTAATCGATTTTGTTATTGATTATTTAGCGATTTTGTTAACGATATTTTTATCGATTTTCTAATCGAGTTTGCTACCAGTATTATCGATACTTTAATCGATATTTTTATCGATTTTCTAATCGATTTTGCTACCAATATTATTCCCGATTTTTCTATCGAAATTGTTTTCGATATTTTATCGATTTTCTTATCGATTTTGTTATTGATTATTTATCGATTTTGTTATTGATTATTTATGGTTTTTTTATCGATTGTGTTATATATTTTGTTATCGATTATTTCTCGATGTTGTTATCGATTATTTATCGATATTTTTATGTATTTTGTTATCGATATTTTTACCGATTTGTTTATCGATTTTGTTATCGATATTGTATCGATATTTCATAGTTTTTGTTAACGATATTTCTATCGATTTTCGAATCGATTTTGTTACCAATATTATTATTGATTTCGCTATCGAAATTTGATTATAATTTGTCACCTATTTTGTTATCGATATTTTTATCGGTTTTTATATCGATATTTTGTTGGATGTTACTATCGATTTTGTATAAACATAAAAATGAAGATAAAGGAAAACAGAAGCAAATAAATGTAATTAGAAAGAACAGCGAATATCAGATGTATGTATGTATGTACATATATTAGTTATGAGACAAAATATAACGTAAGTTTTACTTCTCCAGTGTGGTCCAGGCGCACTTGATTTTTTTTAAGCCAGCCGTTTTCGAGGTACCGATTAAAAAAAGGGCTTTACTGCAAGTAACGATACGGAGTGATCTGTCACTTAATTATCTATTACATCTGAAATAAATGTAAATTTTTATAATGGATGGATGGAACGTAATGAACGGGACATCTAAAATCAACAGATGCTTACGATTTGTTACATCCCGCCCTATGAATATCCCAGGCAACAACTTTGCTAAAAATGGTCCCATTTGGCTCTTTTTTTTTGAATTTTTTCTTTTTTAAAATATTTATAGAATCCGAAAAAGTTTTCAAAAAGGATTTCTATAAAATTTCCAAAATGAACCTACAGATTTATTCTCTCGAAAATATTTTGTAAAAAAATATCACTCATTTTGCAACTTTTAAGTCTAATCCAACCATTAGATAACAAAGGGATCTATTTTTTTTCTAATTTTTTAAAATGTCCATGTTCCAGCTTCTTTTTCTTTATTGTCCAATCGATTCTCTTTTGTGCTAACTGGCGCCAATAGGAAATGCCAAGTGAAGCCAAGTGCTTCCCCACCTGGCCTTTCCAACGTAGAAGAGGCATTCCTCTGCCTCTAATGCCAGCATCGCGACACGCGTTGAAACATTCAGAGCTGGAGCGTCTGGATCCATTTATTTTAACCCAATTCACTATGACTAACATGAAACAAAACCGCTTACTTTTTCAAACTTTTAACTGACAACAGTGACTTGGGTGCAAAGACGCGTATCATAGCAGCTTAGTTCTGTGACTCTTATTATTTTCTCCAATATCAGATAAAATAAATCTCAATAAAGCCCGATAAGACCCTGTTACTAGCCGATGAATTGGCCTTAATTCTAGAGAATTTTCTCTTTAATTTGATAGACATACCGTTTCTCTACATTACGCTGAGTTTTTTTTATGTAACCTAACGAATCTCTTCGACTACAATTATAAGCTACATAAGACTAATTCTACAGAATCCATATTTTCTCAACTAATTAATTCTTCATACTCTCTCTATCCTTTCAGTTACAAAATCTGGCATGGCTACATCTCGCTAATTGTCTGCATTCTGGGAACCGTAGCCAACACCCTTAACATCATCGTGTTGACGCGCAAGGAGATGCGTTCACCCACCAATGCCATACTCACCGGCCTGGCGGTGGCCGATCTCGCCGTCATGCTCGAGTATATACCCTACACCACACACGACTACATACTTGCCAATCAGTTGCCTCGCGAACAGCGCCTCAGCTATGTCTGGGCTTGCTTCATTAAATTCCACTCGATATTCGCACAAGTGTTGCATACAATTAGCATTTGGCTGACTGTCACTTTGGCCGTGTGGCGTTACATAGCCGTTGGTTATCCGCAAAAGAATAGTATCTGGTGTGGCATGCGCACCACACTGTACACCATCTTCACAGCATACATCGTCTGTATACTGGTGGTATCACCATCTTTGTACTTGGTCACCGCAATAGTAGAATTTCTAGAAGCCGTAGATGAGCATGGCAAACCGCTAGACTCAGAGCCATTAACTCAGTACATAATCGATTACTATAATGAGTTGGCGAATCTGACACGTTCGCATGCACAGGTTACCGCATCAGCATTGGCAGTGGGGGCGACGGCAGGTAATAGCAGTACGTTTGCAGTTGGTACCACCTCCGCAGCGGCAGTAGCCATGGCATGGAATATGAGTGATTTGTCCGGCATGGTATCGCCAACTACTTCCACAGCAGCTGCAACTGCAACTGCAAGAGCAATTACAACGAACACACCGGCATTAACAATATCGTCAACGCCATCGCCATGGCAGCTGGCCCATCATAACATCACCGTATACAAGCTGTATCACAGCGATTTGGCGTTGCACAACAAATCCCTACTCAACTCAACCTTCCTCATCTACAGTGTACTCATCAAATTAATACCTTGCATAGCGTTGACGATACTATCGGTGCGTTTGATAGTAGCGCTGCTGGAGGCCAAACGACGACGCAAAATGCTAACTAGCAACGCAGCCAATGGCATGAAACCCATCGTCAATGGGAAAGTGATGGAACAGCGACCACGCAAAAATAGCAAAACGTTGGAAAAGGAGAAACAAACAGATCGGACGACGCGTATGTTATTGGCGGTGTTGTTGTTGTTTCTCATTACTGAATTCCCGCAAGGCATCATGGGTCTGCTAAACACGATGCTGGGCGATGCATTCTACTTGCAATGCTACCTGAAATTTAGTAAGTAGAGATGTGTTTTAAAAATATGCATAGTAGTAGTTGCGTGAGCATACACTTCCGGACAAAAGTATTGGCACAGGGAATTTTTCGCAAATTACCTATGCAATTTTTTTTATTCTAATTACTTTTCGCTAATTTTTTATAAATATATAGTTCATACTAAATGCAACCAAAAAAAAACATAAAAATTACATCTCCAACCTTTTTGCAAAACACAGGAAAATTCAATATAGGGGGGAGGGAAAGCATTGAAGCTTACGGATTTTTATAAGTAAAACGCTCCGTGCTCACCAAGAAGCTGCTCAAGCGACTGACATCCATTCCCGAATGCCCATCGGGAGTGTGGAAAAAGTGCAACCCACGATGCTTAAAGCTCGCAAAATCAGGACACCAGAGCGGCAGGTTTTGAGATGATTCCACCTCAACGTCCTTCATGCAGCTGGTGCAATAAGGACACCGACCCTCGCGAGCGGTGTACTTTTCTTAGTCCCAAGAGCTCCCTGGACCGCCCCCGGTCTACTCGTGGCCAGAAGGATTTTGCCACTTTGCATTCCAAGGTCTCCGCCTAGCGCCCGCTGAGCTAACCAAATGCCCATCTGTCCAAGAGTACACCTCACGAGGTCAGGCGAGCACCCAGATCAGCTCTGCCCAGGAGCAGTTCCTCAAGTGTTTTCTTGTTTTACCAGCTCATCGACTTTGCAGTTTCCACCGATTTTCTGGAGCCCAAATAATGTGGTCGATAGGGAGATCAAGCAATACCTCACCGTTCTCGACCGAAACATCAGAGTGTCAAGAGCCTTGATGGCTACTTGGCTATCGGAATAGGTATTCATCTCCTTGAAAGACATTCCAATAGTGTGCAATCCATACGACGCCTTCTGTATTGCAGTAACCTCTGCCTATAAGATGCTACAGTGATCCGGTAGCCTGAACTTCAGGTTCATGGAGAATTATTCGCAGAACACACCTCTACCCGCCTTCTTGAGCTTCTATCCATCCTTAAATACGTAAACTGGACCCTGATTCCAAATACTGCATTCCTCCTAGTCCTCCATCGCTCTGATATGGATGGTGAAAGCCCCTTCGGACCCTTACTCGGTGAGAAGTGGCCTCTTCGAGCTGGTAGAAATTTGAAGGCGAACCTGAATCCCACCTTACTGCAGCACGGGCAGCGGCAGCTCTGGCTGCTAATATCTATAAGCATATCATTAAGCGCCAGAGTAGGAGTGGTTCGAAATGCCCCGTTGACTCAAATTAGGGCTGCTCTTTGCACTCCTTCCTTCCATTGAAGATGAAGGCATTGCCCATGGCGTTCCAGGAGACGAGTCCTTCATAAAATAGAATTGGCTTAGCTATAATTTCATAAATCCAATGAACTACTTTCGGTAAGAGACCCCAGCGCTTGCCAGTCGCCCTCTTGACGATTTCATCTAGGAAAACTCGCAATCAAAAATTAATCATCAGAATGCCGCCCATTGAGGGAAGACGACAAGTCAGTATCAAACCCAGCCTGCAGCTACAAGCCCAGTTTTCAACCAAGTTCAGGTAAACCTGCATGAGTTCAAACAGTGTTTCTAGAAACTTTCCCCGTGCTAGCAGTGCCACATCGTCAGCATAGCCAACCTCGGGCAGTCACTTCACTTCAGAGTGACCAACAAGTCGTTGATGAAAGTAACCCAAAGCAACGGCGAATGAACCCCTCTTAGGGATACCTCTATTCAAACATCGCCGGATTGAAGCGCTACCCATTCTGTCGCAACAAATAAACCTTACAAGGTCAGATCCGACGTCTAGCCTATTCAGGGAGTTTACGATTGCCTAAGGCAAGACGTTATTAAAAGCGCCCTCGATATCAAGGAAGACACCAACCGCGTATTGCTTCCCCAAAAGAGACTGTTCAATACTATCAACAACCGTGTGTAGGAAAAAATGCGTAATATAGTCAGAAAAAAGCTTATTAAAAACCAAGGCGATTTTTCAGCAACTTTAAACTTGCAATTTGTTTTTATAAAATTTAATGGGCTATAAAACTGTTACTCAAGAAACTTCATAAACATCGGATTAAAATGGTGAAAATTTAGATGCAACTTAGCAATTTATAAAAGATTTTTTAGTCAACTCTTGACAACAAAATTGAATTTCTCGGTTGAAAATCTGCAAGAAAAGTCTGTAAAATAAAAAACTAAAATTTGTTTGTTGGAGCTAGCCAGCAAAGTAGTAATTTTTTTCGAAAGTTCACTTTTCAATTAATTCTTTTGGGGGTTGAATATAATGATTATATAATTTGCATCAATTTTCCCTTATAGGCCGATGTGGTCCTTCGGCACTCCCAAGTCGTAGTAAACTGTGGGCCTTTACAACGAGTGTACCTTTGCGTTAGGCATGCTGATTTAAGGAAAGACGCCGCTACCTAAGAATCCCGCTCTTAGGTGCAGATCAATAAGCCTTTCGCGCGTCTTTAAAAGAAACGAGGAAAGACTTATCGGTCTGATTTCCCCGTGCGATACATGAGAGACCTTACCCGCCTTAAGAATATAGGTGTCTCTGACCAGCCTCCAAGACCCCGGAACATGACAGTTGGCTCGGCAGCTGGCGAAGAAAGGGATCAACCAGCGGCACAACACCTCCGCACACTTCTGCAATTGAGCTGGCATAATGCCGTCCGGACCCGGGGCCTTTAAGGGCTTGAAAGAATCAATTGCCCACAGAAGACGATCTCAACATGCGAGTGGTTTATTTCGAGATTGTCAGCCTTCAATGGGATCGCTTCTGGATCCAGATGGCCTGGGAAGTTATCATCGAGATGGTAATTTTTAAAAGAAGGATCTGGAAGGTCTCATAAGAAGGAAGAAGGGGAAGTTACTGAAGACATGGTACACTGTAGTGGAAATATTTTTGGTAAAAATACTACAAATTTAGACTACTGAGCGCATGAGGGTTAAAGCGAAAACGGCTTGTTATTGAACCCTCTACAAAGGATGCTCAAACCGAATAGCCTATTTTTTCACTTTACCGGGTACTTGGTACAAAATGCCCAAACAAAAAAAAATAACCATTCAACATAAATCCAGCACTAAAGTGTTACTAGTCGCATGACTCGTCTCGTACTTTTTGCTCTACATACTGTCGTTTGTTGTGGCATTCCTCTGTCCTCACGCCTTTGCAGTCATCACATTTGACGGGGTGAACTTGCGTTTGCACTTTATAGCCGGCAAATTGCATTCGCCATACGCTCGCCGGGAGCACACATTAACGCGATTTCGTTTCTACAAAAAATGTTGCCTTCTCATCGCCCTCTTCTTAATGTTTGTGCGTAAAGGGCAAAGAGAAGGTTGCATTTTTCGTTATAAGAGAAATCGGCATTAATGTCGCCCGCAAAGTTACTCATACGCCCCGTGTTGTGCTAATTAAAACTTTTCAGCCGTTTGTATTAATGCGTGTTTTTTTTTATTTAATTTTTTTCTATTTAATTTTCTCCTCCCTCTCTATTTGTATGCATAGATATCCTTTGGTTGCCGCTGACTTAATTTTTTTTTGTTTATCATTTTAAAAGTTTGTTGTCATCGTCTCTCAATCTACATTCTTTACTTTATTTTATTATTATATGTTATTTTTTTTTTGTTTGTGGTCTTCCATTCTTATGACCCTCTCAGTCTGGTATACCTTTTTTCTTCGACTCACTGCAATTATAACGCAAATCAAATTAATTACAACAGCGTTGCTATGACATTCTCACACTTGCTGTGAGATTCATAAAAACCAAAATAACAAAAAAAAAAGACACAAACAATAAAAGTAAAATTAAACAATTACCAATTTTCTGCACTTTAACCACTTGAACAACTTTGATAATGTTTGACTTTTGTGTGACATGCTACCCCTGCGGCGCGCAACAACAAAATTAATTGCAACCTTTAAATGGTTGTTGGCTAGATTGGGGATAATGGAATAATGGCAATAATGGCAATAAAAACAGCAATAAGGTTGATTTTTCTCGACCGCAGTGAAGATTTATTTAAAGCCAGTTCGTACATGGGTGTCATAGTAAATTAAAGTAATATTTAAAGATAGGTAGACATTATTTGATGTAGAAGAACCTGGCATTTAATGGTAAAGAGTGGACATAAGAAGTCCTTACTTGGGTCCAATCAGCAGGTATTAGAGAGAGCTGCTACGCTTGTATCTGCGCACTAAGAAGTCAATATTAATTTTCATTCGTCATTCCAAATAAATTTTTAATTTCAACTTACCCAAGTTAAGACAAAAAAATTTCTAATTAAATAGAAAGCAAAGGAATAACGTAATTACATTCTTCGCTCGCTGTGGTTTGAAGGACATTGAACAAGTTAAGGAAGCATGGGATATGCGAAAAAATTCATTATTACACATTTATTTGCGCGCACGTGTGTGCTAAGTGCTTAGGTATATAAAGTGACTCAAATAAATGAA